GTATCTTATTGAAACTGGTTTTTCACTGTGCATAGACTTCCTACACAAAACCAGAAGTATTTTTCTTATTTCTGCCCAAACTAAGCAGTTCCCACAACTTTATGTTCTTTTATAAATAAGACTGGTTCCCAAATCCAATTTTTCTTGACTTCCTGCTCTTCCTAGCTAAAAGCTCCCTTTTTTAAAACTTGACAAAAATATAGTCATTAGAAAATGATCTCATCAAAATTTTATTTTATTTGTGGTAGGTAGGAACAATTAGTAATTGATGAAAGCAGAATTTCCAGCAGGATGCAAAAGACTTCATTATCTTTATAGTGGGTGGCAGTGATTGAATCAGATTCTGGTTTAAATCATCACGTGACACCCGCTTTGGTTCTGTTCATGATGCACTCAGACCTTTTAATGATTGCACGCTTTTCTTCATTGATGAGATTCCCAGTTCACATTATAGGCTTTGGAGCCAGCTGTAATTTTATTTCATTTTGTTTTGTTGTTTTTTAATTCTCACCTGAGGATATGTTTATTGATTTTAGAGAAAGAAGAAGAGAGGGGGGTGAGAGAGAAAGCGAGAGAGAGAGAGACAAACAGACAAACATTGATGTGAGAAACATTGATTGGTTGCCTCCCGTATGTGCCCCAACCAGGGATTGAACCTGCAACCTAGATATGTGCCCTGACCAGGTATAGAACCCACATCTTTTTGGTGTATGGGACAAGGTTCCAACCAACTGATCCACCCAGCCAGGGCTGGAGCCAGTTATATTTTCTTCTTGGCATTCTTTCTTTCCTCCCTCTACCCATTTACCCATCTCTCCACATCATCCTGGCTCAGGGACTGAGGTCCCCATCTGTAAAGCCTGTTGCCACAGGATACAGAATTCGAATTCACTAGGGGGAGAGAAAGCTGCATGTGCGTGTATCAGGGTGGTGGTTCTCATGAGCAGATAAACGTTGTGGAAAGCTTGCTCATTCATACGGAAGAGCTGGTGCTGCCGCTAAATGGTGGAGCAGATGAGCTCCAGGCTCTGGCATCTGTGCATCGGCCCTGCTCAGCCAGGAGTGCTTCTGTCCATCACTCTGAGAGAGCTGATGAGCATTGCCACTTTTGCCTTCAACAGCAACCTTTATTTGAATCCCATGGAAGAAAAGCTCGATCCCACTTTAATGAGAGGATGAAATGTGTCACAAATAGGAAATCCCATGTGACTTACACACAGTAAACTGCCCTCTATGTAATCATAGCAAGTCTCTGGTGTTTTTCCCTTCACTCTTGACTTCTTTTATGTAACAGCTCTTCCCTCCTGAGATATCTCTAGGGCATCAAAGACTTTTGCCCCCTTGTCAGTTTTGTAGCCTGTGATTCTGCTCTGCTTCCTTCTTGTTGACATCAGCCTTGAATGAGCAGCAATGCAGGCAGGTGCCCTGAAGAGTTGAATGTAGCCTGAGTTTTGAGGAGAGGCAGCTTCTCAATTCCTGCCATTTCACTGGGCATGGTTTGGCTTCCTCGGGAGGTTCTGTCTTCACCTGGCAACCCCACTTAGCACCGTGGACAGAGATCCCTTCAGCCCTTGGTACCCAGCTTTTGGAACTGGAGCTAGGACTTGAGAGCATACTCCTTCTTTCCTCCTTTTGGAGACACTCCTTCCTCCAAGAAATACTGGTGTCTTTAAAATTGTTGTAAGTTTACTTGTATTTTATAAGCCGGGAGCTCAGAATGCCTCTTGCCTTCATGAGCACAAACAGTGTTGGGGTTACTTGAGTTGCATTTATCTTTTCCCCACGCACAAGGTTTGCCTAGTGTGGCAGCCTGCTGGCCCAGACAATAATAAGACTCTGTCGAGGAGAGCAAACAGCTGATGGCATGGGGCACAGAGGGGACTCCTACGTGGCTGCCTGTAATTTGGCAGGCCGGTGGTCAGAGCAGGCGAGAACAAAGGCCAGTCTGTTTGCAGGCAAATTGGAAAGCCAGTATGTGAGTTGTGTTCTTGTCTATTTGCCTTTCTCCTGGCTGGAAGGGCACATGCTGGTCCAGCAGTCTGCAGAATCGTTCCAGGCAAGAACCCATTCTTGAGACTTACCTGTCTGTCATGTTACCCCTGGCAGTTCTGAAAAGGGCCCAAGTTTATGTGTCTGAACTTCAAAAATCACTGATGGAGGAATTCTTTCCAGACTCACCATCTGAAAGTGGACCCTACTATCTCAGTATTTTGAGTTGTTTATTTTCTAAATAGCTACTCCCATACGTTGCGTCCTAATTTCTTTTTAAACTGATGGGGGTTTATTTGCTGCCTGGCTGAGAAATTCAGGGATTTCATGCTGGACAGCATATTTCATAATGTATCCCCCATAACTTTCTTATTCCTAAGCCAATTTAATGTTGCCACTTGACTGAGAATGCTCTGGTCGTGGTTGTGTATCTGGATTATTGAGTTTAGAGAGCAGAGATCATCCCCAGCAGCCCTCTCTGTTCCAGGATGGAAGACAGAGCAGACTTACCAACGACCCCTTTGCATCTGTGGACACATCTCTCAAAGGGCCGCAGTGCAGTGGTTTTCTTGGACATGGGAAGTCTTGAGTAACTGTCACTTTAGGCTTCTGAAAAATAGAGGGTGAGAAGAAAAGACTTTTTCTTTCTGTGTGTTGAAGTTAGCCTCTCAGAAGGTTAGCAAATGGCTTTAAACAGATTTTAATTTAAGCTCTGAAGCTCTGTAGCTAGGTCCTTTCAGACTTCGTTACTCTTGTTCAAAGCCTAAAAATGGTCTGCTGATCACGAATGAGAGAAAAGGGTGCCTGGTTGGAAATGGTCATAGTGCTCTTATGTTAAAGTCCATCAGAAAGAAAAGTCCTAATTTTAGTGCTCATCGGAGACATCCTAATGCAGACAATTAAATTATAAATGAGGAATTAGGTTTAAAATAATCTTGGGTAAAGGAAGTAATTGACATTTTTATTGTGTTTTGTGTTTAAAAGGAAAAATGTACTGAACCTAACACCAAAAACACCTCTTGGCAACTAGCAGTGCCCTTTTAGCATTTATTATTCCACCTTGTGAAACTGTTAAACTTTGTATACTTCGTTTTTGTAGTGAGATTTTAAATGCCCCGAACAGGGAATTTACATTTCTTCCTACAATAGACAGTAGCAGAATGATCAGTACATTATAGCATTTAACACATGTGTTGATTAAAGCTCTGTTTTTATTGCTGAAAACCTGCCACAGGCCTCGCATCAGCACGTCAGGCACTGAGGGTCAGTGCCAATCATATCACATCAGTCCTGCCTGGCCCGGCCCACCCAGGGAGGCTGCAGCCTCAGGAGGAAGCATCTCCATCACTCAGGCAGTATACCTGGCATGCCACGACTTGTTTTCTTTAAAAACTAAAGTTAACTTTTTATTGGCCAGTACACTTTACATCTCAGATTTTTCAGAGTACAAGGAGAGAGCCCAGGTGGCTCAACAATTGATATAAAAATATGAGGGGATGCATGAAATAATAAAAGACATGTTTTGTTTTACTTCTGTGCAGAGGGTCTCATTAGATCTGGTACCTTGGGCCCTGGTATGGCACCTTTCTGGGGCCAGGTCACTCTCAACCTGAACATAATTTGACCAGTTTCTACCTTTATGCTTTTAAAGGGGTTAATTCTGCAGAGAAAGACAGTGAAACAGACATTTTCTAGCCAAATCTAAGATATTCAAAAGACTGGAGAGGGCCAGATGATTCCAAATCCATGAAAAATCTTCAGGTTTTATTTTTGCCAAATCTCTAACCAAAGCACTAATAAATAGCCTAAATTAAATACTACTTCTCACTTTTCCTCTCTTCCTCTGCTCGCTCTTTGGCAAGAGAGCCTGTTCAGCAGGAAACGTTCCCAGCAGCAGATGGCAGGGCGTAGCAGGTGGCAGATAGCATAAGCAGCCTCTGGAAAACTGATACAAGCCTGCAGCCCGACTCAAATCTGGCACAAAATCCTTGTGCTCCAAGTTTTCGTCTTGCCTTTTTGTTTTTAAGAAAACAATTTGATTTTTGTAGGGCCCAGAGGTTGACCTAATTCCGTCAGGTTAAAGAATAAGTGGGCACTCTAGCAGACACATGATGTTTGAGGACCCACCCCAATCAGAACAGGCAAACAGAGAGTGGGCTGCTAAGCCCTGGGTACCGTCTGCTCCCACTGGGGCTCGTGGCCGGGACTGCCGGCAGCAAGAAGCAGCGCTCAGACCCAGCGTGTGACCAGTGTGTGCAAACTCAAGGCCAGCGTAGTATTCCTTTCTTTGTGACAACAGTGTTACCATATGCGCGCTAGCTGGGACTGCCTTTTAAAACCCCGGCAGGGGGGTGGCACTGGGAAGCCAGAGGAGAGAGGCTGAGGAGCTAGAATAGAGCCATGAAGAAGGCAGTGGGGCTGTGGATCCTGAAGACCTGGAGAGCCTGAATGTTAAATTTTGCTTAATTTTTATAACTTTTTCCTCTTTTTTTTCTCTCGGTGCAGTTAAAGGTATCCCAGTCTCTCCTGAGCACCACAAGAAATGTCAGTATAACACAGAGCTAATTTCCCTGTAGAGTTGCTATTCTGTTCTGTTGTTCTCTGCTTCATCTGTGTTGTTGTGAACTCCCGAGGTGTCAGCTTCAGCTTCACACCTCTCTTCTGCTGAAGTATGAATTCACATAACACCATGGTTAGTATTTCTTCCAAATCGTTTTTCATAAACCTCATATGAAAACAGGGTGTTGATTTAGGGGGTATTAAATAAGGAATACAATTTTTACATTTTTGTTTGTTACTTATTATTATTTTGCCTTCTCTTTCCCATTTTAGGCTTGATAGTTAATGAGCTTTATCCTCCTGTTTTCGTAGACTGTTGACTGTTACGACTTCGGTCACATGGACTGCACACCTGTAAATACCTAGGAGAAATACCTGCTGGTGAAAGACAGAACTTGGCATTGACATTTAAGAGTTAACACCGGTTTTCTCTTTTCTTACGTTTTATTTAGATTCCGACACAGCCCCAACTGCTGGTACCTGAGAGACTGGACTGTCCACACCTGGATCAGGCAGTGCCTAAAATACGGCGCACAGGACAAAGCTCTGTATACCCTTGTGAATAAGGTGAGTGCTGTCCTGGCGTTTGCAGCCCGTTCCTTTGAGTCTAGATGATACGGTGTTTGAACCTGTTACAGTACAGCAAAAATAGTACAAGAAATGACTGAGTTGGGACTGTGGATCCTGTTTTTTAAAAACAACTTTTTAAAATTATTTATCCTCAGATAGCCTTTGAAGGATGGGGCTGGGTGTAAATTAACCAACGGGTTAAAAGTAAAAATTCCTGTGGCTGCCGCTGTTCCCATTGTAAGGACACAGAAGCGAATGGGCAGAAGCTCAGGCGGTCCGGCCACAAGGACTCCACACGGGCGCTCATTCATTCCTGACCCAGAGCCTGCGGTTCCCTGCCGAGTCCCCTTGGTGACATGTAGGAGGATAGTCGAGACCCTGGTGTTCAGACTCCCTTACACATTTTTAAAAAGACCTATTCCTGGTCACGCAAAGCATATCTCCCAAATGCCCTGACTCCTCCCCTCGAGCAATAAAGTACAAAATAAGCAAAAGTTTAGCACATTGTTGTTGTGAGTCTTAAGCTACAACACTATTAGGACCTATAAAAAGAGTTTAACAATATTTCCATGAAAATGCATTATTCCTAGTATTAATGGACCTTGTATGTTGAAACTCAAAAGGAGATACTACAAATGGTTGTACATTTTTTTAAAGGAAATACTGATTTTGTTTGGGGGAGTTTTTTTCTCACATGAGCTGGGCCCAGTTCAACTTAATATATGTTGCAGACCGTTTGTATGTGAGGCATTGCCTTGGGTGTGGCATTGTCTGCAAAAATGAACAGTATCTTATCCTTACTTTCAGGAAACTTATAACATAACAGGCAGATAAGCAGGTTCACTGATAAATCTAATATTAGGCCCCAGGGGAAGGAATAGATTGAATCCTGCCCTCTTCAGTGTGATGACAGATTATACTAAAAGAAGAAGATGCCTGTGAAAACAAAGCAAGAAGGGTCTAGAAAGGAAGAAAAGTTTGTCTCACCTTCTGCTATTCCTGCTCTTTTGTGGAAAGCACCCTGGGCAAGGAGTCTGAAACCCAGGCTGTAGTCCCGTAAATTTCACTAGTTAACTGTAACTTGGGGCGAACAGTCGACCCTTCTAGGTCTTAGTTCTGCCAACCCCAAGTCACAGGAGTGGCACCAAGTTGGTGGTTTCCAACCCTGCTGCCCACTAGAAAGACAAGTGGCTTTTAAAATGTATGATGCACCCCCAAGATTGTCATTTCATGGATCCTTCTGGAACCTAGGCATTAGTATTTTTAATGGGTTTTTAATTTTTTTAATAGAATTTTTTAGAGCAGTTTTAGGTTCACAGCAAAATTGAGAAGATACTGAGATGTCTTGTTTGCTCCCCAGCCCCACACCTGCACAGCTTCCCCTGTGTCCACATCCCCCACTAGAGCAGTGCATTTGTTGCCATTGATGACCTGCATTGACACATGGTAGCCACCCAAAGTCCACAGTTGACATCAGGGTCGTTCTTGGTGGCGTACGTTCTGTGGGTTTGGACGAGTGTATGACCTGTATCTACTATCACAACACCATACGGAGTAGTTTTACTGCATTTAAAATCCTCCGTGTTCTGCTGTATATCCCTCACTGGTATCCTTTTAAGGCTGCCATGTGCCTTCTGATTTGCAGCCCGAGCTGAGACTCACTGGCTAGTTGATTTCTAAGGCTCCTTCCAGCTTTAGTGATGTATCATTCTAAAACATTTTATTTCACCCTGCCCCCATGATTAATGCTGATTTGGATGACAGTTTTGAGAAATGCAGATGCCACCCATGAGCTCTAACCTTTCAAATAATGGCTTGCTAACATTTTTCCATTTCAGCACACCTGAGGCATCTCACACAGCCACCAACAACAGTGGCTCAGCTCGGCAGTGACTCACTGCTGGGGTGGGGCTGGGGGTGGGGGCGCTGGTTAGGAGCATCTGGGTGTCCCAAGGGGATACAAGGGGATGATGTAGTGTGAAGAATGTCCTCAGGCAATTCTGGTGTTTGGGGGGGGGGAGAATGGGGCAGTGTGGAGGATGGTGTGTGGGCCTACTGATGTAAGAATTTAAAACAAACAAATATAACCACAGTTTAGATCATTATTAGTCAGCCTTGACTGAATGAAAATCACCTGGCCAGCTCACTAAAACTCCAGGGTTCTGTGCCTCATTCCCAGAGATCTTGGTTCTATATGTCTGAGGCTTAAGAATCTGCCCTGTTAAGTACATGTCTAGAAAATCCTGGTGCAGATGCTGAGCAGTCCACGTTTGAAGAAATCTGGGTTCTCAGATATTCAGCTGCTGGTGAACAGAACGTCTGAGAAGATTGATGAGTAATATTTTATTGGCCTGTTTCTTGGGTCTTTAAAAACCAGAGAGACAACAAAGGAGTGCTGATACGGATGTGGCAGAAAGGGGCCCTTGTACACTGGGTGGAGATGCCTCAAGAACTTAAAAATAAAACTGTGATGTGATCCAGCTGTCCACTCCCACTTCTGGATGTCCGAAGGAAATGAAATCACTGTCTCAGAGATACCTGCAGACCCGTGTTCATTGCAGCATTATTCACAAAGCCAAGACATGGAAACAACCTAAGCGTCTATTAACTAATGAATGGATTTTTTTAAAAGTGTGGTCTGTATGCACAATGGAATATTATGAAACTATAAAAAAGGAGATTCTGCCATTTGTTACAACTTGGATGAAATTTAAGAGCATTATGCTAAGTGAAATAAGTCAATCAAAGAAAGACAAATACCCCATGATGTCACTTATATGTAGAATCTAAAAAAAACAAACTGAAAAATGAAGCATAGAATGGTGGGTATTGGGGCTGGGGGTTGCAAGAAACGGGGAGGTGATGTCCAGAGTGGACAAACATTCAGTTGTAAGATGGTAAGTTCGGAGAGTCTGATGGCTGACATGGTGACTGCAGTTAACAGCTCTCTCCTGTGTAATGTGTGTGACAGGAGTGTTAGCCAACCTTGTCATGTAACTTCTTCATATAACATGTACTAAATGATCTCATTACACAATGTTAGATGCCAATTATATCTCAGTGGAGTTGAGGAAAAAAACATCCAAGGACCAAAAAATGCTGCATGCATAAGAAGATAATGTGTGCTTTCTTCTGAGAGTCCTTTTCTTTTAAATGACACAAATTTATTATCTTAGATTTCTGGACGTTAGAAGTATGAAACATTTCAACAAGCTAAAGTCAACATAGTGGCAGGGATATGTTTCTTTAGGAAGCTTTTGGGGAGAATCTATTTCCTTGACTTTTTAACATGGGAGTCCATTTTTTTATGTGGATATTCATACCTTAGATTAGAAAAAGAATCTCTGAACCCATGGAGTAGGGGGGTGGGTAGGTATTCATTTCTTGCACTCTGACGTGTTAGAATTGAGTTTGTTTCACACATCAGTAGTCTTATATCAGACCCCTCCTCACAATTTCCTCCCCCACCAGCAGTTCCAGTTACCAAAACTTCCGAATCACAGTGTCTGTTTCACTGTCACAGATGCTGTGAAATGACAGGCAAATACTAATAAAGCTAATGGTGGCAAGTTCTGTCTTGAATAATACATAGGCATACATTATAAATCAAAGTGGAGATTTTTCTCTTATTTTCCTTTTATTTCCATTTTCATTGCAGGTTCAATATGGAATTTTTCCAGATAACTTTACATTCAATTTGCTGATGGATTATTTCATAAAGAAAGACAATTACAAAGGTAAGAAACCAAACCCAGGTCCACTGATAATGGGGTTTCAGCCCCCCCAAAAAAGTAAATGTGGTCACTTTCCCTTTTATGTTTCTTAGTGACATCTCCTCACATCACTCAAAAATAGATTTGCAGTTGATTTACCAAGCCACTTGGCCAGAGAGGAAAATTATGCCCAGGTTTCTCCCTCTGAGTTTCTCAAGTTTATGTGTCCGTGTCTTTTTAGGCAAAGGACAGTGAATTTAGTTAAGCAAAAAACCCTGCCTGAGCTTCTGTGGCTAGTTAAGATCATGGTAATGCTGTTATCAGCTTACCCTCTTTTTTGGCAGCATTTGCTACCTTTATTTTATTTAAATCAGACTTGTATTATGTAAAATATAAAACCATAAAATCAATTGACTTCTCCTGGAAAGAGCAGTACCCTCATTATGAAGGAACATCATTTTCCCTTCCTAGAATTTTGTTAGTTCATCTGTAAGTAAGTGGATCCGTGATCTCTGAGATCTCTTTAACCCCCAGATCCTCCAACCCTGTGAAATTAGTTTAAAGTGGCTTCTAACCTCAGCTACAGTAAGGGAGGCCGAGGAAGCTGGTGACTGCAGCCGACCCTGCAGAGCAGCAGGTGGGAGCCCACCAGGCCCCAGTGGACAGGGAGTGCGGTGGAGCACCCTTGTGCTTGTGGCTGTGTGGGCAGTCAGACAGGAAAGAGGAGGCTTTGCCATTGTGTAAAGACACGCACTGGCTTTCCATGTCCACCGTTTCGCCAGGCCGGGGTGGTCCCCAGGAACCCCGAGGGAGCCATGCCCATGTTAGGGCAGCTGCTACCTCAGGACCGTGAATGTGGACTGGGGTCACTTAGGAACTCTGGGCGTTTTCTGTTACCGTGTCTTCCAAATCCCTGATTCAGTCTTCTGCTTCATCTAGTCTGCTGTGGATTCCTTCTAATGTATTTGCTCATTTCAGATATCGTACTCTTCATTTCTGACTGGGTTTTTTTTATGGTTTCAATGTCCTTTTTTATGCCTACTTATCTCTTTGTTGAAGTTCTCACTGAGTTTGTTCATCCTTTCTTTAAGTTCCTTGAGCACCCTTAAAACCATAGTTTTGAACTCTGCATCTGGTATATTGCTTGCCTCTATTTTGCTTAGTTAAAAACATGGAATGCTTCACAGATTTGCATGTCACCGTGCACGGGGGCCACGCTAATCTCTGTATCATTCCACTGATAGTGTATGTGCTGCTGAAGCAAGCACTGGTGGTACCTCACACGTCTTTGCCGTCTGGGATCCTGTCTTGGGGCTCCATCCCGCATGCCAGCGCCCTCAGCCTTCTCCACTGCATCAGCACTCAGTGACTGGGCAGGGGATTGGCCACTTCTGCCCTTAGTGCGGGTGCTCGCTCCTTTCTTCTCCCTGGATCTCCGCTTCATCTTCTCTCTCACAGGCTCACAGTTGCTCACTGCCAAGGGGTGTTTACTGCATATTTTCTTTTGAAATGTTAATTGTCCCTTGCTGCCCATTTCTTATTCAGTTTTAAACATGCACTTCCTGAATTCAATTGAAAGATAATTTGCTTTCACATAATCTAATTTTCATAATCCATTCTCTGAGCATCAGATGTAAGAATCCGTATTACTGTATCATTAGAAAATTATGTCTTCTTCCCTTACTCTCTCTAAAGGGTATGCTGGGAGGATCAAAGCAGATTTTTTTTTTTTCGGAATGCAGAGTAAATAATTAATATTGAATTTTTTTAAGAAAGTTTTGGTAAAGATTATTATCATTTATGGCAAAACTTAGAAAATAATATATCTTTATTGCTGCTAGGATAGGAAATATCAAAGTACATAAGTGATTGTGGAGGAAAATTGAATTAGTTATACAGGCCAATCTAATTTTACTTCCCAAGATGACTGAAATACAGAATATAAATAATGAATGACAAAGTCATTTTAATTTCTTTTTATGTGTAATTTTAGATTCAATAGTAAACAGTTGCCAAAACTAAGTTCTTTAAAAATTGTATTTGTAGTTTTAATTTTTAAAAAATATTGGTTTATTTAGTGTTTTTTCTTTAAATATCTTCCAGGTTATTACTTTGCTACTGACTAGATGACTTCCTGGTCTGCTTGTCTGTCTCAGTTTCCCTATTTGTAAAGAGAATATGGGAATTCTTGCCTGTGGCCGCATTCCAAACCATGACTGGTACAAAACCAGCTGACTAGGAACAGCTGCAGATCACTGCTAGCTCTTGTAATCATGAGTGTAAGCGAAAAGTGGTTAACACAACAACTCAGTCAAAAATATTTGTACCTGTTACGTGCGGCCACCACATTTTAAACCAACATTCTGTTACAGCAAATATTATGAAAAGGAAATTGACCCTGGCCAATGTGGACCAGTTGGATGGAGCATTGTCACGTGTACTGAAAGTTCGAAGGTTCAATTCCCAGTTAGGGCACATGGCTAGGTTGCTGGTTCAGTCCCCAGTCGGGGCATTTACAAGAGGCAACCCATCAACATCTCTCTCCCACATTGATGTTTCTCTCCCTCTCTCTCTCTCCCTCTCTCTAAAAAGTCAATAAAAGAATGAAGATTTTTTAAAAAGAAATCAAAAAGGAAATTGTTTGAACTTGATTTTCTTGGCTTCTGTTTCTTCTGTGGAATAGTGAGGGACACTAAAGCTTGCTCCAGGTCTGACCTCCGATGACCAGTGTTCATGTCAAACAGATACGTTGTATATCACAGCCAGGTGCTGGTAATTATGAGCAAGCGTTTTCCTTTCCCTTCATTCAAGTCTTATAAACTGAGCTCAATTGTCTTTTTTATGTTCATTAGTTTTTTTGTCTTTGAAATGACACCTAGGATTTAGGATTGCCTCTAGCGTTTGTCCTCTTTTGCCCCAACAAGAGAACCCGGAAAGGCGCAGGCAGCCCAGCCATGCTCTGCTTGTCATGGTAACCTGGAGAGTGCAGGGGCTGGTGGAAGGAAGGCCTGATCGGGTGTGGCCGGTAGGGTAATAATGCGGGCGTAATAACTATTGTTTTAATCTGAACATTTCACCTAAAATGTCATATGGTGTGCTTGAGTGTGCTGTTGTTATGTTACAGAGTTACATGCTTATGACTTTGTAATGAAAGATTTTGTAATAAAAAAGGGCTTGTATATCTGCCTTTATATCTGCTTGTATATCTACCTTTCTTCTATGTGTCTTAGCTCTGCCACCTGATAGACATGATGCCTTCGGTTTGCTTCTCAGTTTATGAGGATTTTCAAGTGTGTTATCTTGTTGGACTGTCCCACAGTCTTTTGAAGTAGATGGGACACAGGTGTGGTGCCATGCGGGAGAGGAGACTGGGAGACAGTGCGTGGTCTACTCGGTGCCCCTGAGGGCAGTGGTGCAGTCGCACCTGGTGTAGTAAGTACACAGATGTGCAGCAGAAGCCAAAGGCTTGGGAAGAACAAGGACCAGAGCCCACATTTCTTTACTTCTTAATTCTGCTTATTTTTCCATCACCCCCAATTTTTATGAGTGTTTATAGTTAAACACAGACACGGTGATGTTACCTGCAGCTAATTTGTTCTTAATTGTACTTTGATCTTCCTGCCAGATGCGTTATCCGTGGTCTTTGAGGTCATGATGCAAGAAGCCTTCGAAGTGCCTTCCACCCAACTCCTCTCCCTGCATGTCTTACACCACTGCCTGGCGAAGAAGGCAGACTTCACGGTAAGTGGCCCACCCTGAGGCAGTCCCGAGAGCCTGAGGAAAAGCAAGTGGTGGGTGCTCAGGAGGGATGAGGTGGCCAGAGGAAGCCCCGGCTGTCAGAACCTGGAAGGAGCTGTCTGATGTCCGGCTCCGTGGCCATGGCTACCCAGAATGAGTGTCCACTCTGTACGCTGTAGTTGCTGGTCTCTGACAGAGTGGACCTGGACGTCCCCCACTCACGGGAATCCCAAGTGAATGTGCTCATGCGCATTCTGAAACTTGAGCTGGTTCCAGTCCTCCTCAGACCTTCAGAAACGGGGAAACTGATAGTGAGAGCAGGGCGTGGCGTGTCAAAGAAGCGATTAGGTGCTGACTTAGACCGCAGCCTTAGGTATTAAATACCAGTTACTTAGTTTATGTCAGTGTTTTCCTAAGGTTACTCTGGGTCAATCCAGAATGCTGGGTTTTGGTGTTATCCCTGAGGTTAGATACTTAGTCATTACTTATTGCTGTCCTAAGAATAACAACAGTGATAACAACTATAACTAATATTGAAAGACAGTTTACTTCGTACCAGGCTGTGTTCTTGGTATTTTAAATTTATTAATGCATTTCATCCTCACACCTCTATACAGACGAGAAGCCTGGGTGGGGCACAGAGATGTCAGTTAATAGCATGAAACCACTTCACGAAGGAAGTCTTGTGCTATTATCTGCCCCTAATTCAAATATAACATTAAAAACATGCCAGTTTTAGTAGAAACTGAAAATGTCATCTAGTCCAGCCTACATTCTGGAGATTTTATGGTGCGCTTTGCTTTTCTGAGGTAAGGGTCACAGCCTGTGCAAACACCACATTGACTGTCTCACTAAGTCTATATTAAGCACCTATGATGTTCCGTGCATGCTCGCACAGGTGACCAAGCCTTTCCTGCCTACAGTCTGAGAGGAACAGAGGCATGTAAGAACAATGGGACACACAGATGCAACATTATGACTATGATGAGCGATGCAAAGATGTTGTCCGTGAAAAGCCTATGTTATAGGGAATTTTTGTTTGTATTTTAAACTTAGGTTAGGAAACGCTTTCTTAAGAAAATAGTTCTGGGGTTAATATTTGAAGAATGAATAGGAATTAACTGACTGAAGAGGGGAAGAAAATCCAAAAAGAGGAAATAACATGTGCTAAAGCCCTGTGGCAGAAAGAACTTGGCGAGCAGAAAGGGGCTAGAAAGAGAAAGATACTCAGTGTAGCTGCAACCGAGAGAATGGTAGGAAGGCCGTCGGTGGGATAAGGGTGGAAACTATAGAGCATGCTAAGTTAGCCATTTTGTCCTCATCCTAAAACGAGTGGACAACCATGGAAAAGTTTTAAGCTGAGGTGGGTAACATGATCAGATTTGTGTTTTGAAAAGATGCCTCTGGCCCTGGCTGTGTAGCTCAGTGGATTGAGTGTGGGCTGGGAACTAGGGATCGCAGGTTTGATTCCCGGTCAGGGCACATGCCTGGGTTGAAGGCCATGGCCCCCAGCAACCGCACATTGATGCCCCCCCCCTTCCCTCTCTAAAAATAAATAAATAAAATCTTAAAAAAAAAGATGCCTCTGGCTATAATGGGCATCATAGGTCAGCGTGGGGCCAGCGTGACTGTGGGCAGAGCACTTGGGAGGTGGCCGTGGCTGCCTGCGCAAGAGGTGGCGGTCATTCAGGGACCCAGGTGTGGGGGAGTTGCAGAGCAGCCAGTGAACGTATTCAGGAGGCAGGTAACACGGTGATGAACTAGATGTGGAGCCAGGGGATCGGGTCAAATCTCATCTCCTCAGTTTCTGACTCGTGTGTTACATCTGGACAGAAGGGTTTCCATGTGTTCACAAAGGGAAGTCTGGAAAAAGAAGAGGTTTTATGGGGAAAATCATTCATTTGTCTCTGAAGAGTTTGCATTTTGGACAGTCAAGAGATTGCACAAGGGAAATTAGGATCATAATGGAAAAATCTGGGCTGCTAATAAAATGTACACATCCATGTGTAAGTGTCTGCAAATAGCCAAAGAGCAAAGGGAGAATTAGGGATGTGAGGCCACAGAGTCCACAGGAAGAGAGTGATCTACATTATAGCCTGCCTCTGAGTGAGGACTTTTGAAAAAATTGTTAAATCGAACAATAGGAAAGCACTAAATTATAACCTTTGTTTCCAAAGAAGGGTCAGGAAACCAAATTGGAGTGGATTATGGAGTGAGTTAGAGATACAGAAGGGAGACAGAATAAGCAAGTCTTTTGAGATATCTAGCTGTGAGGTAGAGTGAAGCAGGGGGAAGAGTGGAAATGAGGGTTTGCTTTGTATCAATTTCAGCGGCAGAAGCCTAAAGTGGAAAGACCTACAGGAGGACATTGGTGAAATAGCAACTGGCTACTCTGTACATACAGCAGAAGCTAGCGGCTTAGGACAGATCTAGTATTTAGCAGTGGTTGCATTATTCTCAGACTGTTTGAGGGAGGAACCGTCTAAGACATTCATTTATTTTTGTTAGTTTGTTTTCATCTTTTTCAGAGTCCTTTGGGAGTGTCACCATTCCTGTCACCATCACCACCCTGCTGGGCTCCTAGCTCAGAATGGGTACCGCTTACTTGGCCGCTAGTCCTATTGCATTCTCATGCTATAGATCATTCATTTTTTTCCTTGAAGAAAAGAAAAAATGTTTTGAAGGCTCCTTATTTATTATTCACCAGGCCCCTTTTCATGCAGTTTATGCAGGGGAAAGTCAAGCCTTAGAGTGATTTGCTTTTGCCAGTGGAATGACCTGGTCCTTAATTACCAGCAATTTCACTTCTCTGTGCTGCAGAAGTGCCTGGAGAGGTTTTGTTTTCCTCCCAAGATCTTTGCTTTTTTCAGACCTTCAAAAATGATACTTTCCTTGCACAAAGGCCATCCCTAGTAAAAAGGTTTGGGTGCCCATTACCACCTGGGTGCCTCACTTACACTGGGCTGCAGCTGTAGCCTGCAGATTACATTCACTCTCCACCCTGACGTCTGAGCAGAGACAGGTCAGTGCAGCGCAGCCTGAGCTTTGTGTGCTGTATTTCCAAGCTGGAGCCAAGGCCCAGGCCCGTGCAGACTCACAGAGCACCGAAGCTCTCGTGTCTGGGGAGTTGCCAAGGCCCTCCTCTGGGCCCCGCCTTTCCAGGGAGTCTCTGTCCCTGGTCCCTGCCATTACTGTTCTGCAGCAAGCTGATCCATGCTTGTGGGTTTGCCCCGTTTTTCTCTTGTCTCAAAAGGCTCCAGTTTTATTGAAGTGTAATTTTGCACCCTGGGTTGAAAGAAATGATCACTAAGTGTTTCTAATCGCCTAATTTATTTTTGAGAGGCACAAATCTATCTAAAAGCAACCTAATAGTGGTATTTATTTTAACACTGTCAAGTAGGACTCTAATCATCGCCGAAGTGTTTAAAATTCAAAGGCCTGCTCCGTCCTGTCATGGCCGCGTGAGTGAGCGCGGGCCGGCAGCCTGTCAGGCTTTGGTCGTCCGAGGCAGTGCTGGTCCACGGCACACTCTCCTTTTTTGTTCTGTTTTACTTTCCTGACTGTACAAGGGGCTCTTATTCGTTGTCAGGTTTCTGGAAAATAAAGAAAAGTACAAAGAGGAAAATCAAAGTTACTCGTAATTTCACTACCCAGAAGTCTGTTAACATTTAGGGTATTTCCTTTCTGTATTTTTCACTAAACATAAATATCTTTTACTTACAAATTTGGGATTATAATATACCTATGGCTTTATTATGTTTCTTTTTTAACTTAATGCTATAACATGTTCTTTTTCTTCCATGTAATTAAAAGTCACACTTTTGCATTAAGTAGTCATTGCGTGTCTGGACCATGACCTGGTGCATTCTGTTGCAGTGGGAAGAGGAGAGGAACTTCGGTGCGTCCCTGCTCCTCCCAGGCCTGAAGCAGAAGAACTCAGTGGGGCTGAGTTCTCAGTTGTATGGCTATGCACTTCTTGGTAAGCAGAGTGATCCTCACAAATTTTGTTTTTCATGGGTAGAACTAGTGCATTCTTTACTTCATAATAAAATTAGAGTTTGATTTAAATTTCCTAGTGAAATCCCTATACAGCTTTCATTTTTAGGCACACACACAAAAATAGACTTTGATGGCTTTACAGTTACGACATAAGAAAATAAAGAGGGTCCTAAGACCTGTCCCTGACTTGCAAGCTGAGAACCGGCGCTGGTGGCTGTAGGTTGCACAGCCAGCGTGAGGAAGGGATAGAGAGAGGAAAGTTCTGGCCCTCCTTTGGGAGAACAACCAGTAGAATCTTTCCCAGTACCAACAAACATCTTTCTATCTCTCTAGACCTGAAGTCCAGGGAGAAATTGAGAGTTAGGTTTGAGGTTCTCTCCCTGGTCTTGTTTTCAGGTGAGGGAAGAAAAACTCAGCACAACTGGTAGCACTTTGGGGAAGCAGAGAGGGGCTCGTGGGTACAGTGTGGCTGTGCCATGTGGGGGTTGGGGGGGTAGCTTTATATTAGTGCCCTGACTGCAGTGTAATCAGGCAGGTCAGCAGGACACAGCCTTCTGAGCCGTGGCCTCAGAACCTGGTTGTGTGGACTCTGGGCAAATAACACTCAGTATTAAATGTGCCGTTTTTCTGAAGCTTATTAAATGCCTATTATTTCATTACTCTCTTGTTCTCTGTCTCAAGTGACAGGCATGTGAGAAAGCACCTCTCAATTAGACATTATTCCGCTTACCTTTGTTTTTTGAAAATCGTCAAAGTGATAGCAGTTTGGCTGCATTTGAAGTTGATTCATACTGATTCTGATATAAACTGACTCAGAAGAATCTCAGAGTTCACCAGACTGACCATCAGACTAACGAAAGAGTCCACCACTCTCTTAAAAACTGTGTTCTCCTTATTTGCCATCTACTTTCAATGCTGATTTACGTGTTTTTCCCACAGATTAGCATTCAGTACTATTATACTACAGGAAGTTGTCTGGGCTAAGAAAACGCTCTTAGTTACTCTTGTTTTTGAGCAGAGGCCCCGGTGCGTTGGGACGGGCAGCTGCCACATCAGGAGCTCTTCTGTCTTGTTGTGTCACCTGCCGGACAGCCCCACTCAACCCGGATGGAAGCGGCTTCCCAGAATGTGGCTGCAGTCTTGCCCCAAGCACCTTAAAGGTCTAAAATTAGCTGTCACCTGATAAGCTTTGTCTATTTATGCCCTACTATAGCTCTTCCAAATCCTCCTTCCCAGGAAAGATAAGTGAAGGTGGATTTAAGACCTGGCAGCTCAAGGTGACCTTGCTCATTAGCATGGAGAGGGCTTCTGTGCCACAGGAGTGGAGGCAGCCCCTCCCCCACCAGAGGACCCTGCCCTCCAGCATCCACATCTTGAGTTCCAGGGCTGATGGTTTAAGAAACCAGGAGACACACTCATGTCCTGAGAGGCAAAGGGTGATGAGGACTTTGTGCTTGAAGGTAGATAAAGCTCAAGTAAAGGAAGGAAGAATAAAAGGAGTTTTTCTTATTTTTTCAAACTGACAGTCAATGGGATGCTTTGGAGCACTTTGAAAAATGGCCCAAGTCCGTTTCCGGCCAGGGCCAGGTGTCCAGTGTTGACAAGACTTCACTGTAGGGAAGCTGTGGGATCTGCTTTGCTGAGGAAAATTTTGTTCCTAAAACAAAAATACTATTTTCATTGTTTGACTCACTTCACAAGGGTGAGGCAGATATACCAACCTCCCTGAACCCCCCTCAGCCCTGTGCTTCAGACATCCCTGTGATAATCCCTGCCAGCGCAGATGGCAAAGAAAAACGAGTTTATAAAAGTGTGTGTTAAAAAATATGCAGTGGATTTTACCACTTTCCCGTCATCCACCTGAAATGCCACCAGGTTGCTGGGTGGGATGGGCCCTCGAGACAAAGACAGAGCAGTCGCTCCCTGTCTGAGAGCTGCCGGGTGCAGACGTGCCTGCGCCTTGGAGTCCTCCGCGGCAGACTCAGCGCGGTGGGGCGGCGAGGCTGAGCTCCCTCCGCCGTTCCTTCCGGCCACAGGGAAGGTGGAGCTGCAGCGCGGGCTGCGGGCCGTGTACCACGACATGCCTCTGCTGTGGCGACCGGGCTACCTGGACAGAGCCCTTCAGGTGATGGAGAAGGTGGCCTCCTCCCCGGAAGACGGGAAGCTGTGTGGAGAAGCGGTATGTCCTCGGTCCTGACCCCGTGGGGTTCAGCCGTCTCCTGTTTCTCCTAAGTTAGGTTGTAGATCTGTTTTTGTTTTCTTCCGCTGCCCACTACTCTTTAAAAAAATTTCTGTAGAATCATGTGCTTATCCAGTTGAATGAAAAACCACAAACCTTCTCAATGTTACTGACAAAATGTCCTAGGAAATAAGATTAAGTTGGCTGTGGTCTCTGCTGGTTTTCCTTTCCCCTCCCCCAGGTCCACACTGATGGAGGAAGAAAGGCGTGGAGGTGTGGGTTGGGAGGGGGGCGTCTTTTGTGCCCATCAAGCATAATTCTTAGATTCCTACCTGGTTGATTAAAAGTAAAATCAAATGCCATTCTACTGATTTATATATAAATCTGAATTTGCTAGTTTGTATCGTTTGTTTCATTCTGAGTTTTTCATGCCGTCGAACAGGGTGTTTCTAATATGAAATTATATAACCATTTCCATTTTCTATAATTTGATAAGACAACTCTTCTCACGACTTTTAGATCCCAGATTTCCTCCCTCTCCCTTCTCCAGCCTTCTCTTCATGATGGGCTTCCAGGGCCACTGGCTGATGAGGCCTTGCCCCCTTTCTGCCCCACAGCTCGACGTGCTGGACCGAGTCCTGAGGGCTCTGACTGCCCCGGCCCCCGAGGCTTCAGAGGAGAAGCCCGGAGAAGGGGAAGACAGCCGGGGCTCCGAGGAGCTGATGGAGCAGCTGGACATGGAGGAAACCGAACAATCCAAGCTTCCCCGATACCTGGAACGATTTCAGGTGAGTCGCAGTGGGACGGAGGCCCTCTCGGCTGTGCATTAAACATGCTGCTCTGCCCTAGTGATTGACTGGCAGTGCTTTCATGCATTAATGTCACACACAAAGACATTTAAGACTGACGGAAATTGCATTTTTATTGCTTCACACAGAAAGTGGTCTTAAAAGAAACAAATGGAATTTCTCCATTCTTTTTTGTACTTGAGCTAATGGGCCACAGTTCTGTTCCCTGAGGCAGCATGTCATTACTGCCTCATCCCTGACATGTGCCTGATAGGTGGGTAACAGCTTGCCTGCTCCTGGCAGCCACCTGACTCCAGCCCTGGGTGGGAAGGATCTCGCGATTTCCCCATCTTGCACTAAGAGTGCTTGACAGCCCAGAAATGCAGGTAGAAATTACAAAGCCACGTTTGAGGGTGGTGGAGGTAAGGTGCAGGCACCTGCCTTCGCCCATCCTGGCGGCTTTACGTTGTGCACTGGGGCCATTAGAAGTGCTCTCTTGCATTACACAGAGGATGGAGACAAGTGTCCGCTGGTTCTTTTCAAAACAGCCCCAGCTCTGAAGCTGCCTTCAGTAGCTGTCAAATGTACACCCCAAAGGGCTCTGTGGTCATCAGGGAAGAAGGGCCCTGTTCAAGGCTTAAACCCTTAGCCTCTTAAGAGAAAGCAGTGCTGGCTGAAGGAGAACTCTTTGTATGAAGCAGGAAATGTTCTGGCCCATGCCAGCTAACCGATCATACCACTTGGGGACAGAGTGTAAATTTCGTCAGTATATTTTACCTTTAAATCTTCTCAGTAATTACACTGAATCAGCTATGGGAAACCTATGACCCCCCCCGCTCCCCACCCCACCCCAGCAGAACGGGGATTCTACTGCACTTTTAGCAGCTATTTCTCCCAGTACTTCTTTCTATGGAGTCATCACTCAACCTCCCTCTCTCATAATGTGAAAACTGAGAGAGGAAGGGTAATCGGTGTTCCCAAGGCACTCAGAGAATTAGCAGCAGAGCAAGCTACATTCCTGTTCTCTCCTCTTAACTTGGCATAATATCGCAGATTTGGAAAGGCTAAATAAAAAACAAAAAGTTATCATTTCCCATATTCATATCGACCCAGGCTGTCACACCGTTCCTCAAATGACCACCTCTTTCTCGTTTCTTTTGTATTTAATCTTGGAGAAGAGAAATCTGCACCTACAGTAAATTCTTAGCCCTCACTCCTCCGAAAACACTTTTCTTTTAAAAATCGAGAAAAGACAAGAGGCAAATCTTTATTGGCTGCCACCTGTGCATGAGACCCCACCGCATTCCTCTGTCCTCACATAGCTCTGGGTGGCCGATCCCGCTCGCCCACGGCACACGGCACCAAGGCTGAGAGAAGCCAGCCCTCAGGTTTGAACGAGTTGTCGGGCTCAGAGCTGTGCCCTCATTCCGATGTCACCAGCCATCTCCTGGGCTCAGACCGCATGGATGGTGATTTTCATTTCACGTTCCCTTTTCTTTCTGTTGCCTGACATCTGTTAGTCTCAGGTTATTTGTCTGGGGCCCGTTTTGATGACAGACCCATCACACTACGCCTCTGGCCCCCCTGGAAGCCCATGGACCGCCCGCATTCCCCTCCCCACGGGCACAGTCCCCACCCCCTGGGCCAGGGAACCGCATTTGTCTGTGGGCCGGGGGAAGGTGGCCAGAAGTGGCTTTCTCTGATGATCTCCACCTCCAAGCACTTAAGTAGATTAGCGTTTTTCGTACTTCACTTCTCCGGGAACACAGTCCAAGCAAACCAAGCTGCCATTTTAGATGGAGCTGTCAGCAGTCAGCTCGCAGAGGCTGACCTTCTGTGCGCACAGCAGGCGGGAGCCCACAGCGGTGCGAGTGCTGACGGCGCTGTTCAGCGTGCCCTTAGAGCGGCGTCCTTGAAATGCTTTCCATCTGCTGAACACGCGTCAGGCAAACACTCATCTCCGTTGTTCTGAGGGCAAAGATGTGGATGGGCTTCCCGTTTTTCAGCTGCTGCTGCCATTTTGTGTGCATCTCCGAGTTCTTTGTCCTTGGGGTTTGCTGCTTGGACCCGTGCAAGTCAGGGTGGAAGTGCGATTTGTTAGACTTATGTTGTCTTTGTGATTTACAACAAGCAACTAGAGGGAGTCACAGCATATGGAGTTGCATTTACTGTTTGTAAGTGAAAGGGGGAAATCACACATAGTGCATCTTAGCAGACCTGCTATGCTGGAAATGTAAAGGACAAAAGCTAACAGGTCTGCCTTTCATCCCAGCAAAGTGCCTTTTCCTACAAGAGGAATATGTCGAGATTTTGCAAGCAACATAATCTCTTTTCCTCTGTAGTCTTCTTTCATCCTCCCCCCACACACTTCCTTCTCTGTGCCTTTGTTTCCAACAGGCCTTACATTCTCAACTCCAGGCGCTGGGCAAAGTCGAGTCAGGAAGCCTTCTGACTCTGACCACCCAGCTCGTCAAAGAACAGCTCCCTGCCTGTGAAGCAGAGGACATCGCCACCTATGAGCAGAAGCTGCAGCAGTGGCATCAGGAGCGGCTGTACCTGATCCAGAGGGAACGGGAGCAGAGGGAGAGGGCGAAGCAGGAGCACCAGGCTCGGAGAGCGGCAAAGGCATCTGCCTGACAGGGCCCCGTGGGCCCCAGCCCGCCACGGGGACTTCCCTCGCCCCCATCAGGTGACTCATCGTCACCGTGATGGCAGCCTCGGCTCCTCCATCCGACTTCTCCTTTCCTAAAGCAGGCCACTTGTGCTGTGAAGGCCTGGATGCCCTGTGCATGCAGCCCTGTGACTGCCCATCCATGTAGTTCCAGGGGCGGTGGGACTGTGGCAGTGGCTAGTGCTCAAATTGCAGCCACCAGCTGAGTACCTTAAAAGGAGCTCTTGAGGCCCACGATGGGGTTCCTGAGGTACGGGACCAATTTCGAATGTTGAAGGTTCCTGACACCTAGTGATGGTGGCGGGAGAGGCCATGGTTTAAGTATCAGGTCTCAAGCACAGGCTTTTGAATTGTCTCTCTCCCTCCAGCCAAGGCAAACTGCATGTCCTGGGTCTGACCTTGTCTCCCTTCTCTCTAGGGGCAAGCAAAGCACTCAGCCTGAGCAGGGTGTGAGTGCCCACTCATCCCCACATTTTCTTCCCCCGAGTCTCACCACCAGACTCAAACTGGGAGAAATGCAGTACAGGCACAAACACAGGACCCACCGGCTTTCACATGTCAGGAACCTGTAGCGGCATTTTTGGAATGTAAGGACTTTGGAGGAGAAAGCTAACCTCCTTGGCCAGAAGCTTCTCCATCGTGTTGGTGGAACTCCCAACGCGTCGTTTCAGCTTCCTCACTAAGTAGGTCAGCTGGACCTCCTGCACATGTGCAAGCACACACGGACAATATGTGAGCACATGTTTCAGTCAGAGAAGCACATGTTTCAGTCAGAGAAGCTGGGGGGAGCAAGGGGATGGGGCTTCCAGCGCAAGAGAGACACGGGTAATTACAAGAGTCCCAGGAGGCAGAAAGTTCCTGAAGTTTCTTAGTGAAAGGGGTTGGGGACAGGTCTTGCTTGCTGTGTAATTTTGCCTTTAAGTACAGTGGTGTAATTTTATTCAAGATTCTGTTCTTTTATCAGGAACCTGTGGAAATAAATGTTCTAGGATGGTTTTGATGTATTCATTTTTTTTTTCCTTTTACTATGTTCCTTATCCTTCGGGAAAGGGAGAAAGACACAGGGAATCTCGTCGTCGTAGTTACCATGGTTTTGAGCAACATGTTTCCCCCTCCTCCTCCCTCAGACCATTGGCTTTGTAGCAGCAGCCACCAGCACTGACCAAGGGCTCCAGTGGCCCCACGCAGGCTTGGAGCCGGGAGCCCCCATTCTGAGTGAGGACCTGGAACTGTTCCCTCTGTGTGGTCCGGCTGCCGCTGGCCCTCACCCTGCGTATCGCCCCCACGTGCCTGCAGTTAATCCAACACGGGCCCTGTACCAGTCAAGCTGAATGTAGCTTAGGGAGAGGGTGGTGACCGAGTCTGTTCTGACATTTTAGTTTATCAAGGGCAGCAATTTTTCAGCCACTCCCTTACTGTAGCAAGAGGAAGGTACAAGATAAATCACGAGGCACCTTTGGCTCAGGAATAGCCATCACGGATGAAGCATCTAGTTAGTATTCAGCTCATAATGTCGCCTTCATTTTCCCTCCCGATGCATCTGCATCACACTTCTCCAGTCCTCACCGAAAGAGACCGCTTCTCCCCTGCGCTGCTGCCCAGCAGGAGCAGTGCTGCGCCCCCTCGGGTTCCTTCTGCACGTGGGCCTCGCTCCCTCTCGGGAACTGTCCCCTCTGGGGGCCTTTCCCCTCCAACCTACCACCCTTTCCCCAGGCCCTTCCCTCCTGAGCTATGGAGCATACTTCCACGTTCCTGGATGATAGATCTGAGCAGCTGTCCTCTGTCCTTTTCCTAAATGCCACCTTCTGTATTTCTTCCACGTGGATGGAGAAGCTGCTTTCAGTGCCCTGGCCTCTGGGATGACCTTCACTGAACAGAGTACTTTCCCTCTCGCTAACCTTCCGTAGTCAGTGGCCAAACCTCGTATCACTAACCCAAGAGCTTAGAACCTGAAGTCTCATTCTCCCAGTCTCCTCTTATCCCACAACTGCTCACCAGCTTTTCCCTTCAACCCTTAGCCTGTACCCTGTTGCTCACACCTTTGATCTCCAGAATTCAGACCCTCCTTGTGCTCCCACACTGGGCCCCATGGTTGGCCATCCCACCAATGAGCTCAGTTTCTCACTCTTTACCAAGGCCCCCTTGCCATCCCTGGACCCACCTGTTATGGGGTGGATTATGTCCCCCCCAAAAAGATATATTGAAGCCCTAATCCCCAGTACCTTAGAATTGTTCATTGGAAATAGGGGCCTTACAGAGGTAACCAAATTATATTGGGATTATTCGGATGGGCCCTAACCCAATGTGATTGGTGTCCTTATACAAGGGAAGTTTGGACAGACACACAGGGAGGGAAGGCAAGGTGAAGACACACAGAGAGAAGAAAACCACATGACCGGTGTGCCCTTCTGCAGACACTTTGGTTTTGGACCTCCAGCCTCCAATGCCGTTCTGTTCTCTGAAGCCACCAGTTTGGGGAGCTCTGTTACAGCAACCCCGGGACCCGGTCCATCACCAGTCGTTTCTTCCTGTGTGCTTCCGACGACCAAGCTTCCTATGCAAAGCCATAATATCAGGCTAATTGATTCCTCTACAAACTTGCAGCTACCCTTCTCAACTCAACAGTCCTTTTGTTTCTTTCACCGACTCTCATCTTTACCTCATTCGCCTTTCTGCTCTGCTGAAGCCCCAGACTTTCACCCCCAGAACTCAACAGGTGTTCCTGACTCCTGCTTTATCAGGAAAACTTGAGCCCTAACATGTGACTGCAGTCTCCCCCTTTCCAGCTTAACAGTTCTCCGTCCCTGCTGGGTCTCCCCCTCATCCCCCCTTCCAAGTGAGGCAAACCCCTGCCTCCTTCGCAAGGTTAGCTTCTTCGTGACCTGACCCCTGCCTGTCTGCCTGTTCCAGAACCAGCAAGCCTTCCCTTCTGCAAGGCTTTCCCTTTTACACACAGAGCCTTTATCCTGCCATCAATCAAGCTACTACCTGTCACTCTCCTTCGCCACCAAACTGCTTTAAAAAGATATCCTCACTTACTGGCTCGCTGCTTATTCATTAGAGTCTAAAAATGTGGCTTTCACTTCACTGTACCTCAGCTGCAGTGATCTTCCCTCTTCTCCATTCGGTACCCCGGCCACCCCCTTATAAGCGAGATGACTCCAGCCGACTGTCTGTCTCTGTTCTAGCACTGCTTCTAGGTGCTCACAGCATTCGTTTGGCATATCCTGTGTCAAGGTGCCATCATAAGTGCTATGGAGTTTACTCAGATTCTACTCTCAAATAACTTACATTCCAGTGAGGGAGAGGAGGCAGGCATTTACGCCACTGCCAGTGCATGGCTGAAAAGTATTGGAGGGAGATAAACTGATGTGTGTGTTTGCAGGAAGAACACGTCAAGCCCAGAGATGCAGAAAGCTCCAATGAAGGGAAATCACCACTTTGTGAATGAGTCACACAGGTCTGTCTCACACTGTCCTGGGTGGAAGCGGCCTTCTCCCCTCGGAGTCTGAAGAGATACTACTTTACATTGAATTGAAATGAACAATTCAGACTGAACCTATTTTGACTCACAACCCACACCTACCTTGGGGAACAAATAGTAAAAAGGCAGAGTTGTGGAAGAAGAAAAAACAACAATGGGGTTCACATACCTTACTCTCCTCCCCTCCAAGCTGTGTTAGCTTGGCACCAAACTGCACTTCGTTTTCATACCTTGCAGCTGGCTGTGGATATAAGATACATGAGTAGGAAAGTTGCTATAGATTTTACAGGTAGTCGAAGGCCCTAAAAATTAGTTTATTAAATGCTTGTTTTCACTTTGAATGACATAACATCCTGTGAGTAGAGGCCTAAGATGCTGCTAAACATCTCACAGCGCACAGGAGCACCCCCACAACAAAGAACTATCTGGTCCCAAATGTCGACAGTGCCATGATTAGAAACCCTGGTCTAGGGTATATGATCGGGGCGGCCAGAGGAATTTTTGCAGTAATGTTGATGAGACACTAGAATAATGTGTATGCAAATGGCTCATTTACAAGTGACATTTATCAAGCCAGAAACGTAACATTGGGTTCGTATCTAACTGAACATGAGTATAAAATTACTGGTGATACAGGGTGGGCCATTATTCTTCCTGAGCAAAGTCCATTATGGAAAAGGGTAAGTGGTGATTTCTATGACTTTGCTGTCTGGGGATATGTAACTGGGACCAGGAGTCGGGGCCCAAATGAAGTTGCTATGGTGTGACCTCCAGCAAGTCCGTGGAACCGACGCCGTTGTACCCAGTGATCCGATGGGCCTGCGGGGTTGCGGGAAGGATGGAGTTTTACATGGGCTCAGAGGGGTTAGGCTTTAGCAAATCCTAAAAGCAAACTATGTGGTGTGATTGTATTTTCATTAAATGGTTAGAGCCCAACTTTTCAGAGTTCTACTTCAGCTGAACTTTTCAAACTCTGAAAATAAATTTTAAAAATCACTCTTTAGAAAATGGGGGAAAAGGAATTCTTTCCAACATAGTTATGTCAGGGAAATGGCCTTTTATTCTAAATAACAGCTTCTTGGCCTGAAAATCACCTTTCCTTCCCCACCCACAACCCCGCCCCACCCACTTAATTGATTTGGCCTTTTTGCTGACACTGTGGCGGCCCTGAGGATGTTACCCCCTTCATGTAACAGGGAGTCCAAACAGAGGATAGGGCAGTGCCCCTGGGACTGTGGCAGTTCCCACTGGAGTCTTTGTTTAACCCAAGACAGTCACTTAGACTGTGTGCTCATTGTGCGTGAATGTTAGGGATTCCAGATCCGAGCTGGACATGTTCAGAAAACAGTTTATTCTTGCAAAAAAGCATTTGCAAATAAATTGTATTATGGGCTTTAAAAGCAAGGTCAAGGACACGAGGAGTATTTATGACAGTTCTATAAAAGGGACCTTGTATCCCGATACAGGAGAATTTTGCTTGCTCCTCTGGTTCCCATGATACGTCATCTATGCAGAGTTCAAGACTGAATCTGCAGAGTGCCCATTAAAATTTCCTCTAGTGACAGCATGCGGGGCCACTGCTGGGTGTCGGTGTTTCCCAGGCTCTGGCTCACAAGCAATCACATGCCCAGCTTGATTACAAAAGTTATATTTAAAAATTCCTCTTTGTGACTGTCCTTTCGTGCCTAATGTAACACATCCTCCCTAATCCCCACAAGAATCCTGCAGGACAGGATTTATTACACTCATTTTCAGAGTAGAAAACTCTGGAGTGGACTTATATGACTTGCCCAGGGTCACACAATAAGTAGCCAGAACAGTATTTGAACCCAAGTTTGTCTAATTCCAAACCCATTTTCCAACAATTCCACCCACCATGTATGTTCCTGTGCCAGCCTGAAACTAAGTACCTTGATACATTCCTTCGACCAATATTTATTGAATACCTACTCCTGTCAGGAACTGTTAAAATAGTCACTGAGATACAGCGAGGAGGGAAATAGACAAAGATCTCTTCCCTTACGGCATTTACAGATAGTAAGTATGTAACAGGACATAAGGTGACGTGTGGTGTGGAGATGAAGCATGGAAAGGAGAGTGCTGGCTAAGTGGTGGAGGTTGCAACTGAAAACAAGGAGCTTAGGGAAGGCCTTGCTGGGAAGACATTTGAACACAGACCCACAGGGAAAGGTGGAGAATCATGGAGTCGCCTGGGGAAGAGCTACAGCCAGCCCCTTGGCCCCATGTGGAAGCACCTGCAGAGAGTCTGAGGAAATAGCGAGGAGGCCAGTGTGGCGGGAGTGGAGTGTGTCCGTCAGGGGGAGAGTCGCAGGAGATAAGGCCAGAGAGACAACGGACAGATGGTACAAGGCCCCCAGCCCCTCGTTGGGATGGTGGCTTTCATACTGAGCTGGGGACCCATTTGGAAGTTTTGAGCACTGGATGGTGTGATGTGGCCTAACACGTCTACAGGATTAGTCTAGCTGCTCTGTGGAGAATAAATAGGAGGGCAGAGAAGGA